GTATAAAATTTACAAATGACTTTTTGCTTCTTTATGAACATCAGCTTGATATGCAGGGGCGAGGCTGTGAAAGTAGATAAAAATAAATGTCAAGCATGGAAATTTAGGCTTTATTCTGACAATGGGAAAAGTAAGAGCGATAAAGGGGTGTTGTTTTGGTGCCCTTTTGTGAATAAAATCGTGAATCATGAGGAGATTATGGTTGCAATAGTGACTTTACAGATTTGGGTACATAAATGGTGGGTATGTCAAAATTAGAAAAGTCCAACTTGTAAAAATTCGGAAAAAAGTCAAATCTTTCACATGCACTGCATTTATTTATGACCCATATTATCATATTCCCAAGGGATTCAATTCCTGGCTACAGATTTTCCTATTTAATTAATTATTATGTAAATCAAACAAAAGTAATATCACAAAAGCATAATTTCAATCATCCTAAAGAACACCAGGAGCATCCTGTTATCATCCTTGATCACCAATATTTTTTTTATGTTTAAGTTCTGGAAGAAACAATCTAGCCCTATGTATAATTTTCCAAAACCATTAACATATATATAAATATGATAGATATTTCCACTAGGAGACTGGAGAAGGAGATGTTGGAAAGAACGCCCGAGGAAGAAACATAAAGCCGTTAATGAGGAGATTGAATTTGAGAGATTCGGCTGGCTTGAGAGTATGTTTATGCTGAAACTTCTTCCAGTATTAATAAGTTGAACAACTAAAAGAGCACCAGCCAATTGCAGTATTCGTATTGCAACATCATATTTAAGGACGCTCTGATCACTGGTGATGCAATGGTACGACTATGTATTAATAAATTGACCATCTGGATTATGCAATGGTACGACTATGTATTAATAAATTGACCATCTGGATTTATATTAATCTAATATCTACTCTAGTAAACGGATTCTGTGAGGGAGTCAATTTTCTATTGATCACTCTTATTTAGTATTATTATCTTTATTTTTAAATAAATTTCCTATTTATCAAATTAAGAACTTATTTGGTTAGGTTTATCTACTTACCAAATGTGCTTATTTAAACCCATAAGTATTTCTTAAATGTTTTTAAATTGTTTGGTTGCATTCCAAAACTCAAAGGCGCTTATAGAATTTAAAACAAGTTATTTTACCGATTATGGGAGAAGTTTAAAATTTGAACTTCTCCTATAGGCTTTTTTTTTTTTTTTTTTTGAATTTATCTAAGTATTGAAATTTCAAAATATCATTATTCTATTTTATATATTATAACCCTTTTTTAGTAAATTAATACTATAAAACTCTTTTATATTTTTCTAATCAAAAAATTAATAACTTTTTCAATAAATCCAATATTTTATAACTCTTCTTCTATAAGTTCTATTTAATAAATCATATCAAACGCATACTAATATATTGATACTTTTTTTTTTTTTTTGTTTTCCGTTTTAAAAAGAAAATCCCTGATAATGCATATAGCAAATAAAGACATGTTAGCTAGGATGAGGATCGTCTTTTAAAAGGTGAAAAGCAAGCATTAAGATTCTTGTTCTTTAATCTTTCTTAAACTTGGGTTTAGTAATTAATATACAATTAATTGGTAATATATCTATATATAGGTTGACTATATAGACCAATATTAATGGTGATACTAATTAAGGGTGACCCGCCCAAATCAACTGGGATTTTGAATGGTGGTGTATTAATTACTCTTGATGTCAGTCCTAACTAATACTTTAAATGATTTGAAATATCAATTAAGATGCCATTTATGAAGGAGTAAGCTTGACGTTTATTAATATTCCAAATTCATAACTTTAATCTTACAAGAACTTCAAATATAAGACGCCCATCCACTGCGTAGTAATTATAAATTAAAAAAAAAAAATTATCAAGCGTTTCATAAGTTGCTATTTAGTTAAGCTAATTTATCCTCTGGTTTGTCAATTTTATTACCGATTATTAATGGTGATAGGAAGAAACTATTAATTTGCTATACTTTTCTGAATCTATTTTATATATCATATATCTACAACAAATGAAAAATGCATTAGATATTGTGCTCATTTGAAGTTCAAGTTATAGAAAATGTAAATTTCATCGGAATAATTATTTTTCAAACTCAAAAAAATAAGTTTAAGATGTTTTCCGTGCTCTGAATACATACTTAAAAAATAACAATTTTTTTCTTGAATTCTCTAAAATACTAATTAATACCAAAGGTATTCTCAATATAAAAAATTTTCAAAATATTTTATCCAACACATCATGAAACACTAAAAAAAAAATATAAAATTGAATTATTTTAAAATAATTTTAAAAAATGTATTGAAAGAAGCGTAACACTGTTTTTTTAACCAATACTCATACTATATAAATATATATAAGAAATCAATAAAAAGAAGCACAATAATAGATTGACTATTAAAACAATATAGCTTGAATATTTGAAATTGCAATTATTATGTATGATTTCCAAAATACACTCACTATGTATGTAATGAGATGTAATCATATTAGTTAATGTCAAAACTAAAATACCAATAAATATTACAATTTTAGTTTATGTAAGATAATAAATTTAACAACTAAAAAATTATATCACGCCGCCATTGGTATAATGATATAAACCTGTAGGGCATATCAAGCATTTTACATGGATTACTTCAGATAGACACATTAATAAAGAAAATTATGTTTTCCGTGGTTGCTTTATTTAAAAGAAACGCTATCAAATAATGATATATTTTTTAGTAAAATTTTGTAAACCCATCAATAATTCGCCCTCGTAAAGTTGTATTAGATATTTAATTTTTGTGGTCACATTTGAGTCATCCTTTCGAGTCCTATACACATCATGTTGAATAAAATATAAATCATCTCCTAAATGAATTTAACCAAACGTTTAAAAGATTTGACATCATATGTCTATTTCTATTGACGTTTCTGTTTTTGTATTGTATTTGTTTTTTATTAACCATCAATTAATTAATCACATGTTTATATTTATTAAGGGAAAAACTCATCAGCTGAAAACACTATCTATCAAACAAGCAAAATTAAAATTTTTCGAGATTCCCATGCCCAAAAATATATACAACAATAAAAAATTAATTAATTTAACAGGAACTTAAACCCTAATTCTTGAATGCTAAACCACTAAAACTGACTAAAATTATTGAATAAAAAACAGCTATCCATGCCGACGATATTCCGTCGGCATATAAATGCAATCAATAATGCTACGCTTACTCACGAACTTACTAATCGTCTTACTCACCTTTGTTAAAATTACATATAATACCCGTATTATGCTTATGGTACCCGTACTATGTTTTATATTTACACGCGTTAGTAAGATGGTTAGTAAGTTCGTGAGTAAGCATAGCATTACTCAAATGCAATACCCCGATGTGAGCAGCGGTAAGTTAATAGTATCCCTCCGCCGATAGTGTGTGATGAGTAGGGGTGCATACAAGCCGAGCCGAGCCGAGTAGTGGCTGGCTCGAGCTTAGCTCAGATGTATTGGTAGGAGGCTCGAGCTTGACGAGCTCAAGCTCGACTCGTTTAAGAAAATGAATGGCTTGAGATCGGCTCGGCTCAGCTCGATTATTTATTACACGAGTCGAGCCAAGTTGAATTTGAGCCAATATTAAAAAAAAAAAAAAAAATCGGCATGCAGTATCCCTTCTACTTTCTAATCAGATTAAATTGAATTCACCAAAATCGCATGATTCAAAGTTAAAAAGCAAAAAAAAAAAATCAACTTCAATGGAATCAACTTCACCTAAATCTCAGAATTCAAACATGGGAAAATGAAACATTCATCCAAAAATCAACATTCAAAGTAAAAAATAAGCTATAAATTCAACAAATATTCATCCAAAGCAAAACACAAACCGTAAATTTAACAATCCTTAATCCAAAAACAACATTCAAAGCAAAGCACAAAATAAAAGCAAACATTAAGCATATGGAATTCAGTCCATGGGAAACAAAAAGCATCCTATTTTCTTCTGCCGAATCATATCAACAACAAGACTAGCAGCTTCTCTTCTCTTGCATCCACCTGACCCATGAAGCTTCTCTTCTCTTGCATCAACAACAAAACCAGCAGCCAAAGAATGGGAAGGATATATAGTAACTCTGGTGGACCCTCTCGACGAATTCGATTGATAAAGATTCCATAAAGATCTTCAGCAGGCCCGTCTACAAAACCAAAGGAGCAAATAATGATAATGAGCTTCCATCTGAAAGGACTAATTTAGCTGATGCAGTCCATATTAAATGCAAGATAATCGAGCAAAAATGAAGAAGGATCACTATTTAACTATCTAATGGCTATTTGAGAAAAGAACTTTTAAATCAATGCTAACTAGTTTCAAGCTTCCTCACTTAAAAAAAAAAAAAAAAAAGTTAGCGACTCTGATGCACAAATACCATCCATGCTAACATCCCATTGTTTTCCAATTCGCTTGATAACAACACAAACACATGCATGTGATGCAAAGACTTTACATATATCGGCCATATCAAAAGTGGTGAGTCCAGCATTTGCATTATGAAGCATAGAATCAACTGCATTGTCTGTATCAATTCTACCCCATCCCCCACTTGTCTGCCACATCCCATTCACAACTTTACATATATCTAAGATATCATTCCCATTCTCACGAGCTCTCTTACTCGAATGACGTCTCGAGTTTCTCAAAAATTCGCGAACAGTTCGAATCGAGCCCGAAAAGCTCGACATTTTTCACGAGCTTGAAGATGAGCTCGAACTCGTGAACTACTCGATTTTCGACGAGTTGAGCCTGAGTTCGTCACGAGTCGATCACGAGTAGCTCGGTTGGACTACACCCCTAGCGATGAGAATTGATAGTCGAAACAACTATAATAATTGTATAAGATTCATCACCTTATAATTTACTTAGCTTGATTATATAATTTAAAAATTAAATTGACCACAAGCTTCTTTATGATGCAAAGAGTAAAAAAGAGTGTAAAGCAACAGGATCCAAATAGAAATTTATTGTATATATCAAGCAGTACATAGCACATTAATTGATAGTAAAAGATAGTATGTATAATTGTACATTGTACTTTCTTCAACTAAGAGGAGTTTGATAACCACTACTCACTGCTTAGGCAAGGAAGAGGCCCCGGAGTTACTCCCTTTACCAAAGTTGCACAAAGTACAAAGATTACAAGTTCTAAGAACGAGGAACGAACCAAGAAGAGATTTATTTTATGAACTAATACATATTATGGCATATTAATTTAGATAAAACTTTTAATATAATTTACACTTTTTGTTCTTCCTCGAAGGAGAAGAGAGAATTAAGTTTCTGTTTAGGCTAAGCTAGAAATTAACACCTTCGATTTCTTCTAGCTCAACGCCCAAAACCCACAAAAACGAAGAGAGAAAACGTTTATGCTTGGAGCTCCCTTTCTAAAACAAGGTGGCACTATCCTCTAATGACATGTTAATAAGGTCTTCATGACCCTGAGCGCCACCATCATCAAAGAGCCATTTCTCCAGCAATGTTAGAGGGACTTGATGAGTCTCCAAATTCGGCTTGCTTTCATCTTGAAAGAGACTAGTGTCGGGTGTCAAATTGGCCGTCGTTGTCGTTGTCGTCGTCTCGTCCACCGACATCGATTGAGATGCGTCTGAGTTGGAAGAGTTAAAGCTAAACAGCGAGTCAAAACCCTCAGGTGTGGTAGCACTTGCCGCCCCTTCACTAGAATTGGAACCTGTTGTTGCAACGGCGTTGTTGAACGAATCCTGAGTGGTTTCTGAGTTTGTTTGAGGTGTTTTTGATGGATTTTTCATCCATTTTTCAAGCAATCTGGATATGTTTTCAGCGCTCGATGCATAGGTAGAACCCTGGTATGAAGTTGTGTAAGGATGATAGAGATTTGTTGAAGGCTTTGAGTCAGCCGGTAAAGAGCTTGTTTTGTCAAGAGATAAAGCCTCACAAAGGGCTTGTTTCGCCATGTGAATGTCTGTTTGGAGCCTTCTCTCCCACTGACCCTTGGAGACTTGTTGTGAAGCAGACAACACGTCTTGATTTTGGCCATCGACTCCTGTTTGAAGCTTTTTCAGCTTCTTCTTCAAATGGGTATTCCAATAATTTTTTATATCGTTGTCTGTTCTCTGAGGAAGGTAAGAAGCTATGGCTGCCCATCTGCACCAATATAAAATAATTATTTTTCAATTCCAAATTCCATACCCATAAACAATAAATAGAAGAAGATTTTTATATTATCTTAGAATCTCCCTAATGTCATCTGAAACTAAAACTAATAATAATTTTTTTTTTTTTTTTGGGTAAGTATAAACTAATAATAAATTTCCCCGTTGGGATTTGCAAATCTACTTTAATAGATCACACCCAGATTCGGGAACCTTGAGCTTAATCGCAGAGAAGAGTTTATACCTGTTGCCTAAAAGAGCTTGGAGGTGGATAATCATCTTCTCTTCATGATCGGTGAAGTTACCGCGTTTAATCCCCGGCCGGAGATAATTTGTCCATCTAAGTCTGCAGCTCTTACTGCATCTAAGCAAACCTGAATATCAAAGAAGAGAAAGAGAACATAGATTAGAGGTAAAGAGTGAAGAAGGTGCAGAATATTAATTACATCAATTTAATGACTTAACCAACCAAAATCTAAAAGAGAAAATAAAAACCTGTAAAAACTGGTGAAGTTGTTAGTTTTTTTGATGAAGATGGAGGAAGGTTTTAATACCTGTATTAGTAGGAACCGATCTCCAATTCCCAGGTCCATGTTCTTGAATATAAGAGACCAAGATGATATCTTCTTCAGGAGTCCAAGGTCCTTTCTTGACACCAATCTTATCGCAGCAAGGAGGTCTACCCATTTCAAACACTTTCTACAAAATTCTAATTTCAAAAAAAGGGTTGTTCTTATAATAATGAGAGAGCTGAGTTGAGTTGAGTTAGACAGTTTGTTTGTTTGCAGCGAAGTGAGAGAACGTCCAAAGGCGATGAGAGTAAGCGAAGAAGAAGAGATATATATAGAGAGAAGAGCTGACCAGAGTGAGGTAAAAAGGACTTTGGTGCTTACAAAGAGTCAAAAGGGACAGCAAAGAGCATTTACTCTTATGTTTGTTAAAGTCAGCTATACTTGGACCCTTTCTTTCTTTCTCTCTCCATCTCTGGGCGGCTGGCACCTCACAATTCACAAAACCGTGTGGCATTCAATATGGCCATTTGGAGAGGTGGCATGCACCGAATACTCTCTTATTTACTTCTTCAATTACCTATGCTTATTTAACTTCACCATCTAATTTTTTTTTATTTTTTTTTTAATTTTAACCAAGCTCTTGGCACAACTTACACACATCTCAATTGATTATTTGGAGAGGTTAGCACAACAATCTACTATCATGATTTTTCACTTAAATCACAGATACTCAAATAAAAAATCGAACTTGAGATTGTGCGTCTATCCATATTATCTCCAATTAACCATAATCATCTGGACTTCACTAACTAATTACCATTACAAACATAAATTAATAACCTATACTTCTCCAATTTTATGTGCGATTATTGTGTAAAAGCTATAATTTTGGAAAACTAGTAATTATTTGTAAGTCGCCACCTTGTAATTTTTAATAATTTGATTATGTTTATTACTTATTATATAGATAAAAGTAATATTATATGTACCATACAAATAATACCAAATGTAAAACCCTTTCGTATAAACTAATGTGTCATTAAGTGAATAGATAAATTTACAAAAAAAAGTCAACTTAATAAATATTCAATTAAATAGATAAATGATGTGTCAATAAACGAGTTTGTATACATAATTTATACATATAACACCACACTTTTATCCAAATTAATGTGATATAAAATAAATAGATGAATTTATCTATAAGTCAACTCAATATATGATGTAGTGCGTATAAATGATGTAGCAATTAAAATCAGTTTGTATAGTTAGTTTGCTCAAATAGCATCACTCAATCGATAATTTCAAGAGTAATACTATACATACAATATTTCTCATACAATATAATCGGTAAAAGATGACTGGATTAAAATTTATTTTTAATTTAAAATTAATTAATTATATTTTATTATGTTGAATTTGTATGGCAAATATTATATATGTAGAATTATGCTAATTTCAATGTGACACAGTAAACTAAATAACTCAAAATGCATGTAATGGGATTCCATTGGACATACAATAAGTCAAATCAAATAAGAAATTGATTTAATAATTGTTAATTAAATTAATTATAAATATAAAATTCTAGATTTTCTATTATTTTTTTTTAACAATTGTTTATTAACTTCCCATTATTAATCTTAATTAATACTTGTTTTGTAAGATGAATAATGGGAAGTTAATCAATTTAATTACTCCGTAAATAATAGTGGATAGATGAGGTGTAGAAAAAGGGAGGGCTAAGAGCCTTCCAATGATAGAATAAAGAGCATCTTTCATGTAAATAAAAAGAATCTTTATTAATTTCTAAATATCGAGAATATAATTTTTATTTAAATTTAATAAACTCTTTAAATTTAATAAAGATACTCTTTATTTTCAAAAAAATGATTTAATGGAAAATAAAATTAATAAATAAAATATATAAATAGTTTATTAATTAAAATTGGGATAGAGAGTAAAATTTAATTCTCTATATGTAGAGAGTCAAACTCACTCTTTAATTTATATTTAAATAATAAAGAGTCTATTAAATTTTTATTTTTATATATAAACTATTTATAATAAAGAATTTGGATCATATAAATAATCATTTAAATATAAAGGGTCATTTGAAGATACTAAAAGGAAAAAAAATTAAAGGGAAATGGGTTTACTTTGTGGCTAAATGGATATGAATTAAGTAATGTCAATTGCCAACTATGGATGGCACCCTCCTAATTAATGCCACCATGCTTCCGTGTAACACTCACCACTTATTTTATTTTATTTTTTATTTTTTCCCTAACGATTATCTCTCTATTAAACAAACAATTAATCTTATCCATGCAAATTGCATGCCCTACACTATTAATTTTGAGAGAGAAGTTATATATTTTATTATTTTCAAGTTCCAATATCTATCTAATTAATCATAACCCTACTATTACCAAAAATTTAAATGCTTTCCATTTATATTGTTTTTTTTTATTATTATATAACTTAAAATAATACAAGTCAACTAAACTTCCATTTACTAATCAAACCTTCTAAATAGTTAACTGCCTACAGGAGATTGAAATTGACCGTCTTTTTGTTTGATTTGTGATCTAAAAACGATTTTTAAAAACTAAAATATCATTCAATTTTTAATTTGATATAATATTTTAAAATTTTAAAAATATGTTTGATATAATATTAAAAAATTATTTCAAATAAAAGATTATAGAAAATTGTGAAAATGATTTTTAGTCATTTTCTAATTATAAATTAGCTTATAGGTTTGGATCTAAAAGCTATTTTTGAAAATATCTTGACTTACTTTTACTAAACACATTTTCATAAGATTTGTTGTATCCCCTGGTTTTAAAAAGATTATTATAAATTAGAAGACACTTAAAAAAAAAAAAAAAAAAATCTAAAGAAATAAAGACATAAATTTCATTTGTATCAATAAACAGACATGTTCATGAATCAAAGAACAGTTTTAATAAAAAGTACAAAAAATGTTTGTTGATTGATACAAATGAAACTTATATCATTTTTCCTTTAGTGTTCTCCAATTTATAATAATCATTTTCAGAAAAAAAAAATTGAATTTAAATTGTATATCAAACAAGCTAAATAACTTACATGTGATTTTGATAAGGGAAGATCAAAATAAACTAATTAAAATGAAGACAATCCAATTATTACACATATATAATATGTGATTGACATCTAATACAATATATATTTGTTTCTTTCTTATTTTTCTCCTCTTTAAGTTAGTTTTGTATTTTCTCCATTTTTTTAAGTGATCTTTTATTTTCTTTATTCAACCTCTCTTAATTAATTATCAAATTGTAATCATAAAGAGTCATCATATGTTCGTATAACAATATAACGCATGAATCACATGTTAATATATTGAGACTTTGATATCATTTTAAACACCAAAATTATTTTAAGAAAGTTTTATACTACACATGAATTGAACACCATGCACCATTAATTCGACAATCTAAATATTGCATTATTAACTTCCTCTTTTCGATGCATATTTTATATTTATATTTATTATGTAATACATTGATTGTTCAATTATATTACTCAACTTGTTGCATATTTATTTGTTATTATAGACCTAAGCAATTTAACCCTAGTTGTAATTATATAAAGGGCACCATCACGTTCATTTTTTGAGAGTTAAATGAGGACATTTTTCACCCATTTTATAGAATTATTTTTGTGAATTAAATTTGGGTTATAATTGGAGAAGGGGGATTGGTTTGGTATAAAAAATTGACAAGTAAAATATAAGTCGACAGATTCTAGAAGATAAAATCGAAGGTTTTAATTTTATAAAAAAAGAAGTCGGTCAGTTGGCTTTCGATTCTTAAGACTTAAAACAGTGAACATTTCAATACTGATTTGAATTGAGGGATGACGTGGTGAGACAAGTGGACGGTCGAAGATGTATTCTGTGTATAAGTAAGTCAGAGAGTAAACGAATTGGACCCATAATTAATGATGAAAATGATAGAATATGAGCTTAAGTTTTGCCTCGAAAGGACCGAGCAATTTAAGAGCCCTCAGATCCCTCATCTGTTCCTCTCTTTGCACTAACTTATTGGTGAAGATGAAGTTTTTATCACTCTTCTTCTTCTTCTTTTTTTTTCATGTTAATTTAATCTCACTATTTATTTTAATGGTTAATTTAGTTGCTAAATCGGATTACACGTTTCATTAACTTTAAGTTGGAGAGAGGCTAGGAATTTCAGTGGATTTGGTAGGTTTAATTTGATGTTTATTGTCTTGAATTTCGCAAACACATGGATTTCAAATTGTAAATGAATATCAATCAGTTTAGGGATACAATAATATTTAATTAATATGATGAAAATAGACATGGACTTTTAGTCATGTTTATTAAAGTGATTAACAGTACGATATTACTTGTTGCAACAACCAATTCATCAAACCCCTAATTTATTAAATTTTCGAGAAAGTCCACCTTCAGAAACTAAACTTCATAAAAATACAAACATGCAACAAAGCAAGGATTGAAGACTGCTTTGAAAGATTGTGTTAGACGAAGTCTTAAGAATAAGAACCTTATCCAAAAATGCATGAAAAACTATTGAACATAGCTAAATAGGAGACGCTTTTTGTATTGTCACGCATATGAATAAGGACAAAAAAAGCTACTACACTTGAAGAAGATGGTGTTTTGCGTTTGTGTGTGAAGGGGAAGACTTTGCTGGATTGTGGAATAAACGCTTTGACTTCTTTACTTTTCATCATTTATTGGCAGCAAAGGTGATGAAGACACTCAACATAGATGAAGCCACGCGTTTAGCTGAAGCTCCATCCATGTTAATTGCCGAAGAAATTCGTCTTCCTTTCATTGGTAGAAGATCGATCAGTACAAAAATTTGGGCGTTCTAGAATTTGTTTTTTTCTGTCTGTTTAATATATGATGTATTTATTATATATATTGTTAATTTCTTGCTATTCACATTGCGTTTGCATTTAATTATACTATTAATTAGAAAATGACATTGGAGCTAGCAAAAACTATTTTACTTTCATACTGTAGACCTCTCTGGGGGACCCTAAAAAAAGAGAAATAAATTAAATATTATTCATAATCAAGATGTGGATGCATAAGAATCATAAGCCTTATAAATCGTACACTTTATATTTAATGCTTGATTATCGCCTTGAAAATATTTTTCACACCCTCTTATTTAAAATGAAACAAATGTTTGTTTCCAAAAATTAATCACTTCAAGATACCCCCCCAAAAAAAAAAAAAAAACTGTGTTACAGTATACAAATTTAAGAAATCTTTTGG